GGCTCCGCCGGCCCTGCCCCGCTGCCCAGGGGCTCCCGCCCGGGCGGCTCCGCCACCCCCGGCAGCGGCAGCGGCAGAGGCAGCGGCAGCTCCCGGCCAGTCTGTCTCCTGGGTATATGTCTGTGCTTGGCCATGTCGTATCCTCAGGGTTACTTGTACCAGCCGTCGGCTTCCTTGGCTCTCTACTCTTGCCCGGCTTACAGCACCAGCGTCATCTCCGGCCCCAGGACCGATGAACTTGGGAGATCTTCCTCTGGCTCCGCTTTTTCGCCTTATGCCGGATCTACAGCCTTTACCGCCCCTTCTCCGGGTTACAACTCCCACCTCCAGTACGGCGCGGACCCGGCTGCAGCTGCTGCCGCTGCCTTCACTTCGTACGTGGTAAGAGCAGCAATGACCCCCCACCCCCTCCCCTCCGCCGGCCGCTAATGGCAACCACTTCAGCCCGCATCCCCTGCAACTTGGGGCTTCTGTGCACACACTGTTGCTACATAAAAAGCCTCCGTGTTTCTGGGCCAGGGGGGAGGGAAACAAGAGCATAATCATTAATAAAAAGTATTGTGTTTTCAATGAAAGCGAGCGCATAGGGAAGCCTCCGAGCCAGCCAGCAAATTCAGCCGAGACGAAGCTTTTACTCTTGGGGGGGGGGGGAAGAAAGATCCTAGCTGGGCTCCCCCCTCCTTGTTTTATTTTCTGCGTTGGGGGGGAATGCCATAAAATAACCCAAGCAGCCAGCCCAGCCCAGCCCAGCCAGCCCCTCCGCGGGGAAAGCACAAAACACCCGACTGGTTAACAACACATACAAGTTTCTTCTGCTCCGCGTTTATTAGGCTTCCCTTCGGCTACAGAGATCCCGAGGCCGGCTCTGCAAAACCATTGGGAAGACTAAATAATAATTCTTATTATTATAATTATTATTGTAATCAAATGGGTGATTTATCTCCCTCCCCCACTTTCCATTCTGTCTATATTTGTGATCCAGGAGCAACGTTGCAGCAGTTAGACAGATACTAGCCCCGATCTGGCCCTCTCTCTCACACACTCTTCTAAAGGCGAAAATAATGCACCCCCAATTGGGTTTCATCTCGCTTCGCCTCCCTCCCCGGCCCATGCGTGTCCGAGCCCCGGCAGAGGCGACTTCGCTTTCTGCAGGGAGTCGAGCAGACTTTGCCTTCCCCGTCCCTGCTGCGGGCCAGGAGCTCCACGGCGGCGGCGCGGCGGCTGGGGAAGGGGCTGATCACTTGGCGAGAGCAGCCATGTGCCTGTGCTCGGCGGCCGCGCAGGAGCGGGCTGAGCCCCGCGTGGGCGCAGGGGGCAGGGGGGCTGGCGCTGCTCGGCTCTGCGAGGGGAGGCGGGTGCTGAGCTGCTGGGAGCAGAGTTAGCTTTGCGCACACAACTTCTAGGCCCTTTCTCCCTCCGTGCGGGAGCAGCGAGGAGAGGCCGGTCCCAGCTGGGAGAGGATCCCTAGCCCGATCGCTTCTTCGGGGGGGGGGTCTCCCCACTCTCTTGCCCATGTCCCCTGCTAGCAGCGATCTGACCTCCCGGCCCTGTGCTGGCTCCCCTCTCTGTGCAGGGCTCTCCCTACGACCACACGCCGGGCATGGCAGGCTCCCTGGGCTACCATCCCTACGCGGCCCCCCTGGGCTCCTACCCCTACGGGGACCCCGCGTACCGCAAGAACGCCACCCGCGACGCCACCGCCACGCTCAAGGCCTGGCTCAACGAGCACCGCAAGAACCCCTACCCCACCAAGGGCGAGAAGATCATGCTGGCCATCATCACCAAGATGACCCTCACGCAGGTCTCCACCTGGTTCGCCAACGCCCGGAGGCGGCTCAAAAAGGAGAATAAAATGACCTGGACCCCCCGGAACCGGAGCGAGGACGAGGAGGAGGAGGAGAACATCGACCTGGAGAAAAACGACGAGGATGAGCCCCAGAAGCTGGAGGAGAAGGGGGAGCCCGAGGCCCCGGAGACAGGTAGAGGAGGGGTGCGCGGGTGCCGGGGCAGACCCGGGCGATCGGGGGTGCGGGGGCTCCGGCAGGATCAGTCCTCCGACGCGGGGAGGGAAAGGCAGGGGCTGAGCACGGGGCAGCGCTCACAGGCTCGGTGTCCCCCCCTCTCGCCCCTGCAGGAGCGGAGCCGAAGGCGGCGGCGGCGGCGGCGGCGGGCTGCGAGCGGCTGCACGAGCCGCCCAGCCCGGCGGGCAAGGAG